CGTTTTTTTTTTCGGCTAGTTCTTGGTAGCAATCCCATCGCGAAGATGTACGGATTCCGGGCTGTCCGTGGGCCATTCCCCCATTCCCCACCCCACCCGCGCAAACCCTACCGCGGCCCTACAATTCCAAGATTACAAGCCATTCGCAGCCCAGGGCCATATGACCAGCTCAAAAACTCAGTTCCCGACAGTTTTCGGAATTTTGTACAGGAAAAAGAAGTTGGGCTTCACTGCACACTCGCCCCCCCTCAGGCCGGGGTCGGAGGATCTTGTATATTTCGGTCCGCATATTCAGTGCTGGCAGCGACCTCTCAAGTTTCAGCCTCCTTTTCTAGGTGCTTCATGTGAAAGATCTTGAGCCATCTATTGTTCAGAATTTGAGGCCCGTTACGAAGTATGCGCAGAGATTCTGGTCGGAATTTAAGGGCCTTTCGAGATCACGTTCGAGGCTACAGCTCTGGTGCCCAAAGCCTGGTCCCTCAAAACTGAACCCTCAATTCTGAGCCCTACACCGTTTGCTCTAGACGTGAAGTCCTTAACCCTCAAACTCTAAACATGGAGTCTTTAATGCAAGGGGGCAAACGTTAAACACCTGAACTTATGCCTCATTGACTGGCTGCTGGATTGTGGGGAATGAGGGAGTGGGTGCACTTTGGTGCTGAATGCAGTGATGTTTTATCATTGCTAGGATTGCTGTTCCTAATCCAGCATGCCTTATTGACCAGCAGCCAAATGATGGTGGCAAGCGCAAGGCGAGCTCGGCCCTTCTGAACCAGCTGATGGCATTCGCAGCAGTGGCATCCATCGCCATGCTACTTGGACTTGGGAGTTTCTGTTGCCTTAAACCCGACTTGAAGCTTCCTCAAAAGATCACACAGGAAACAGGAGCGTGTTTCACCATTCTGAGACCCACTTCAGGCCCTGCAACTAGATATCCAGCACAGACAAAAAGCCCAACAGTTGTTAACTTCAAGTTGGAACAAGTCCGCCCCAGGAATTGTATAACAATGAAAATTCCGTATAACATCAGGCCCCAACTGTGTGTCATATTTGGGATAGCAAGAAGAAGCCATGCAAAGACAATGCCCTGCCAGAGATGTGATGCCGTTCCCAAGGTCAGGAGCACTGCAGACCAGCGCCTACGCATCGCTCAAGAAAGCCTGGTTAGCATACTTGGAGCTCCCCGTCCCTGGGTCATTGTCAGGAAGGAGTTTGGTTTTCAAAGGTGTAAACTAACTCGACCTACACACATACAGAGTAGTGCCAACTCGGCTCTGATCTAGGTCTTTGTTGCGTCAAGCGGCACAAGCGCCCAAGTATCTAACCAGTGCTTCCTGGCAATGCTCCTTGGACCTTCAGTGTCGGACTTTCTCGGAGTTGGTATGGGATCCGTATTGCATCCCTTCGGAAGCGGAAGCCACGCAGTGGATGGTACAGCTTTTGGGCTGGGATATCCGGTGCCTTCAACTTCGGTTCTGCATCAGAGTCCCGTTTTGAGTGAGGAGGACGCTTTGCAAGCTATTGAGTGCTCTTCTTGAAGGCACAATGCCTTGTGGTGATTTTGAAGCTTGACAGCGTGTGCCTAGAAGCCCGCGGCGTCTTTCAAAGCAGTCGTCACAGAGGAGGACGGATAAGCGAGCCAGAGACAGAGACTCAAACATGGAGATGGAGGTGCGCAATGCTCGCGCTATGGTTTTCCTAACACCAGGCAGTGCCATAGCTTCCACAGAAAGACGGAAGAACAAGTGAGAGCTAGACCAAGCAGGAATCTTGAAATGTCCGTGTGCATCTAGTAGAATCTAGTGTCTAGGCCATTAGAGCCCAAAATTTTGCAGCATCAACTCAACCAGCCCATACGCCCTAAATCCCATCCAGAGAATCGTGAGGTTGGGCTACACCCCATCCTTTGCCAACGTGCACATCTTCACATCTATTCTGCCAGTTTTGCTGGTCGCGACTCTGTGAGGTTTAGGGCTCTTGAGGTATTGTTTGGTTCTCAGACCGTTGAAAGTCAAGGGCTTAGGTTTTAGGATTTAAGTGTTCCTGTGAAAAGTGGCGCAATGATGCGCAATATGAAGATGGCAAGTACGCATTCATGTTTATGTGCGGAATCCTTGCGTTCGTATGCACGATCCTGGCCCCATGCTGTTTTGGGCGTCTCAAAAATTGACACAAAATCTTGAACCGGTTGCTTCCTTGCTTTATGATGTACATAGGATTACATAGGTATAGTTAACGTTGTGTTTTGGTGCATGCAGAGGAGGACTGATTTTGACATATGCCTCGGCCTGAAATCCAGCAGCACACGCTCTGGCTCATACTGTAGCTCTCCCAAGCAACGGGCGTGGAAACGCCTGGGCCATCAATCCACTGAGTCCTGAAGTTCAGCTTGATTTCCCCTTGAGTCTCTGAAGCCGAAGCGAGCCAATTACTCTCGAGACCCAGAAGCACGACTGCAAGTAAACAAGGCGCAAAACCGACAGCCAGAACTTGAACCCTCAACTGCAATTCTTAATCCCGAGCCCTACGACTTGAAAATATTGAATTTTTGAGCCCCGTGTCCTGTCAGCCTCCAGCCAAGACAGCATTGGTCGCCGTTAAGGGCGGATGGGTGGCGGCAGTGGTAGGCATGAGCCCAGGTCCCGTTACAGCGTGGGGTTCAGAGTGAGGGGTTGAGGAATTGTCCATGTTGGGCACGATTTGTTTCTTTGCTTTTTAGGCTCGTGATTTTTGGACACAGGTTGTCCACAGGTCAAACTGCGATGTCAGTGTAGAGCCTGCTTGTATAGTCTTTAGGGTTGTAGGAACTAAGCTGGTTACTGTCATCCTCTGTTTCCGTACAGTTCTTGAAGCCTCACTCAGAACAATTTATCCTGGCATTGTTCATCAATTACGTTTAGCCTTGCAGGCCTTGCGAGGCAACGAACCTTGTGGATTGTTTGCGTATCATTTTGAATCGAATGCAAGAATGGAGTACAGGTACTGCTATCCTATCTCAGGTTTTCAGCAGCAGCAGGGAAGGATGCGCATGCTTGTGAACGTCAGTGACAGGATCCACTCTAAGGCGCTGTCAGAGACGTGTCGCATGTTTTTTCAGACGCTGAACTCTTGCAAACTCAGTTATGGCGTTTGTGGCCCATGCGTTCCCCGCAAAAAGTCCAATGTCCATGCCACCACTTTATGGTACCGGCATATTAGTCACGCAATCCCGGTCCCCTACACCCTCTGCACACAGACCCCGCCCAAATGCGAACATTCGTTTGAATCTCAGCCTCAGGAATGTGTTTCTCCCTTCCTTCACTGCAGCCTTCGGGCGGTATCTTGTGGTATCTCGGCTTTTCTGCATCTATGGGGGGCTCATGGTTTTCGGGCCACTACACGGCCCTTCTTCTCGTTGGAATCCAATTTTGGGGCTGCGAGGTTTCAAGGGAATTCAAGGATGCAGAGTAAAACGGATGTAGTGTGGTGGCCTTGCAACAGCCGCTGCAACAAAAAGCTGCCGATGCCACAATTGCCTGCCCGAAAGCACCTTCTACAATGCGGGTGATCCGGCTCGAACTGTGAAGAACCTTTGTGAATGCTTCATGTCCTCAATCGCTACAGTTTTACTGCATACAAGGGCTCTGCACAGCAGGGTGTAAGGTAAAGGCGAATGTGTGTCAGGTTCAGTGATGTTGGGCTGCGGGTTGGGGAGTTGTTCGTCGAGTTGCTGGGCTCTGGGCTTCAGAGTTTGGCGCTGGGTATCCTTTTTGAATTCTGGCTCCAAACTGCTAGCCGCGAAACACTTGAATAAAATGCCAGGCCTGTCTACCTAACCTTGACAACCCCAGCTCCAAACTACCCCAAGCATTCAACCACCAATCTTGATGCCAGAAGCTTTCGAGGCATACCGTCTGCAACCTGAGGGTTCGCCGGGCAGCGTGCCACGGCTTTTGTTTGTCGCCTTCTATTGTTTTCCCCTACCTGGACATTTATGGAAGTTAGTAGCGCAGCATCTACGCCTAACCGAGGCTAGATCTCTCTTTACATTGGGGACAACCTGTAAGAGGCCACTGAAGGCATGGTACTTGCATTCCTGAATACTCTGAAAGACATGGCTGCGGACCTTCCACGGAACGAATGTTTGGTCAAAGCTTTGGACCTCTGGGAGAGCCAAGTAGAGGTTCGGCAGCCTTTTGGCTTGGGCTCTTTTTCTTAGTGATTGTGGGATCGAGGTTACGGGCGGATCAGCTGAGAATTCCCCACTTGCGGCTTGAGGTTTGCGCTCGCGTGTCCGATCACCTCAGCAAGCATGATGTTGAGGTTTAGGGTTTTTCCGGTTCAGAAAGTTGCTTCCATGTTGGAGCGTGAAAGCGGTCTCTGTGAGGCTCAAGTGTAAGTGTCAGGTGAAAAGCATCTTGGGTGTGGAGGGTAGCATGTTGTGGGCTTCAAGTTTAGACTGCAGCTTATGTAGGTGTGTCTGTAGTCGAGGTTATGCTTGAGGCTTGAGGTTTATAAGAATTGGAGTTGAGTTAGATTTCAGGGTACTCTTCTTAGCCCAACATATCCAGTGAGAACTGCTCACTCTCGGAAGTCGAAAATCTACAGCCTTTGAGTACAAGTTTGAAAGGCATCTGCATGCAAACAACAACTTTTCAGGGTTCCTGCTTGAGGACCTTAGTAGAGGCACACATCTCCTTGTCTGACCAATAGTGCGAAGCGTCGGAGAAAACCTTGAATGCCGTAACCCACCAACTCATTGAACTTTGGGCTATACAGGTCATTGTAGGGGGGGTACATAGGGAGTACACGAGACCAGTAGACCATAACTGCCAAGGACTTGCACCTGGACTTTTTGCCTCCAGGGCCTACAGGCGTCGTCGTTGCCACGATCATGGTGGCAATTGGCCTTTGCTTCGTTGTGGGCGTCGGCACCTGGACGTACGCCGCGCCTTGCCAGGTTTTGGGATTTTCGGAAGTTGGACTTAGGAGCGACACGTTGAGGTTGATGGACGTTGATTTTGCACAATTTCAGCTCCAGCATCGGTTGAGAGGGTGTACGATTGCGGAGGGATCCGCAAGATTAGGAGGCCCATCCCTCAGAAGGGTCCCTGCTATCCACCGGGTTAGCGAAAAAAGTTTGGCAAATACACGTAAGTCTCGAGACACTGGCAAATTTTGACCTTGATAAGTGCAGGGACATAGGAGTTTGGCAATCCACCTGGGAAATGGCATCAGAAAGGTGATGTAAAAATCTGAGGCAAACAAAACATGAGTGGGCGGCTATAAACACGGGTTAATTAACATGCTGACGACAGTCCAAGCAAAATTCCTGGACATTGGCCTGGATCCCTAAACACTCAACACTGAACCCCTTACCGGCGCAAGCGATCCTGAAATCCCTAGACCATCCCCAACACAAATTCACAGCCCAAAATCAGAACCCTAAACTCTATAGTTGGAAGGTTCGCACCCGCACGGAGAAGTTGCCTGTGCATGTGGCCTACTTGATTGGGCCCTACAAGTCGGACTGTGCGGCCTGGGAGGTGCCAAGCCGGACCTGCAGGAAATTCTCTTGACTTATGCTTAGTGGTTGTTCGTAGGGAATGTGAGAGTACATATGTAATATGTATATGACAGGGTTATTTAGTTATAATTATAGGGATTATATTCCCCACTAAGCACCCATAAGTAGGAGTCACCATCACTTTCGAGTTGTCGAGTATATGTCAGGGTCTCAAGGCTCGCCCATATACAGTGCTTTGCAAGTCCTCTTCCTTGATCACGAGCCATGAACCGCTACAACCTTTGCCTGTGAACCCTGCATGCATGTATTGCAAACCCCTAAACCCCCAAGACCCAAACCCTTCAACGGGTTCAGCAGGTCGAACGGCTGGTGCGGAAGATGCTCCTTGCGCTCGTCACTGCAGTGTTACCCATCTCCCTCTCACCAGCGCATTGGCTGTCTCTAGCTAGTTCCAAATGGAGTTCAGGTGGTTGGGGAAGCGCGGGTTTAGGGGTTTGAAGGGTAGGTAGGCTGTGGGGTTTAGACGCGGGGGGTCGAGGGAGTTGAGGCCTAAAGTTGCGATTCAAATTCTTCTTCTACGCCACGCCTGTGCAAAAATCGTTAATGGTGATTGTAATCATTTCCAGGCCCTGAATCCTAAGCGCGATTTGAAGTCTGGAAAAGCTAGAGACCTTGACATCCCAAACTTTGAGACCTGCATGCTCCTACAAGCATGACTAAGAACTAAGGGCAGGCTCACAGAAATGCTGTTGTTGCTCGGCTATGTATTTCAGGACAAACTTGATTTCAGCATGGCTAGTTCTAATGTGAGGTCAGTACATAGCCATGGATCCATGGAAACTATCAAAACATAGCGATCTTTGCTAACAACCACAGATTTGTACCAATGCAGAACCGCGAAACGCCCTGAGCCACTTAATCCCGAAACCTTAGCCAATGGGCAGCACCCTAAGCCTCAAACCCATACACCTTCAAATCCTAAGCTCTAAACTCTAAACTCTCCTACTCCCAAGCCAACTAGAAATTGAACACTCAGGCTATTCAGATGACCGGAGTGTTGCTGATCTTACTAGCTTCCTTGGCTCTCTACTGCGAGTTCAGGCCGTACGAGGACCCCAGGGTTTTGGCGTTTTTTTTGGTTGGGAGGGGGAACAGTTTCAAGAGTTGTCCTTGAGTGTGTTAGTACATTGGCAATTAGACTTCTTCCGCGAGCAGGTATATAGCGTCTGGGGTTCAAGGTCTAGCCACGCGAAAGCTCGGGTGGTTGGAAACCCTACACCAAAGCCTTAGCTGCAAACCCCAAGGCCCAAATTTTGCTAGGCTCTTAGCTGCTAAAGCAACAAAAATTTGACGGAGCAGGGTTTCAATGCGACAGTTGGGGCTCATTGTCATGAGTTTCTTGAGCCTTGGACCTCAGCATCATAAGGCCAAGGCTCTACAACATCAATGATTCGTTCTTTATCCCCAACACGCTCAGTGTGTGAACCCCGTCTGCCCTGCTGAATCTGACCCCTAGATAGACCTTAACGGGGATTTCCCACTCCCACGACCCCTTTGCAACAAGCCCCCCCATTTTTAGAAACAAACTCTCATGCCTAAACTCGGAGCCCGAACTCCTAAACCTTTGAAGGACGATTCCCGGAACAGATTGGAGGCGGCTCTCCTCTTCGTGGGTTTGGCAATGACGAGTATGACCACATGCGGCGCGCTGCATGTGGGCTTAACTGTTCGGGGGTTACTGTAGTGTCGAGTCTTGCATTCGTATGGGACGAAACATCTATGGTTCAGAGCTTGTATGGCTTTGGGATTAGAGGGTCGGAGCTTAGTTTGGGACTTGTTTTGTCTCGGGGGATGCGGTTGGTTTGCCATTTCGAGTTTGGAGCTGTGTTGAGGGTTTTCTCATTGTTCTGATGCGTTTCTCTTCTTAGTATGCTCTCCCGGCGTCTGCATCCAGAATGTGGGGCTTCACATTGACATGGAACTCGCCTGTGCCCGTGGTTCCATCATGAATCACCACGCAAAGTCGATGGAAGCATGTTGTTCAGCCTCCTAGAGTAACCTAGTGCTCACGTGGCCACTTCTCGGTTTTGGGGTCGAAGGTTTCAGGTAGACCTGGACCCTTTCCAAGGCACCGAAAACCCGAAAGGTTTGGTCCAAGCTTCAAAGCCACTCAGAATCACCGATTCCAAGCCATAGGTCAAACCGCAAGCACAACCTCTGCCTCCCGAAGCCAGCTCCAAACAACATGCTAACGACATTGAAGTAACTTCTTTCACTCTAAGCCTTCGACCTGAAACTACCAGTGCCCTAGGCCCGAAGCCCGGCAACCCCAAGCCCTGGAAGATTTGACCCAAGGCCTGGTTGCCAATGATTTGCACTGGGCCAGCTCGGCTGTGACTCAGGCGGGGCTTCCTGCTCCCCCTGTTCCGATCATAGAGATACCAATGATGAGAAGCGGGCTAGACAATGGCTAGATGGGCAGAATGAGGATAATTTAGGATGACAGGTTTACATGTTGTCAATTCTGCGTTCTGGGGTTTGCGGACTCGGGCGTCAGGGCCAGTCCTAGCTTTGGTTTGAGTAGGCATGGTAATGTTGCGTGATTCGTGGGCGGGCTGGTGGGTTTTGAAATTTGCGGTTTGGGTAGGAAGATTTGTGGTTGAGAGCTGCGCCCTGCAGGGAGTGGGGTGGTATCACAACTGGTCCTGCGATCTGTGTCTTCGGGAAATTTGTTGGCCCCGAGCCCTATCGCGTGCTGGAGTGGAGAAGGCTGAGGACATAGGACTCAAGGCTTTGTTGACACTTCTGCTTTCTGCCTGTTTCACTCCATCCGTTTTTGACCGCTACATACTGATATCCAGCATGCCGCTGACCTGTCACCAGCAATGAAGGAGCCTGACTTTCAGCTTTCATCGGTTTTTCGAGTTGGGTTTGGAATTCGTGCCTGCGGCTTGACAAGCAGCCTCTGGCCATCAAGTCCTACAGCTCAAGCGAGTGGCTTCACATCGTAAAGCCCTAACTTATTGGTAGTTAGTACGGAGTAAGGGAACATAATCCCTGCATAAGCCCCCTTTAACATCTTCCCTTATTCCCTACCAACCACCCGTAAGCCACTGCAAATCCTGAACTTCCTTGTTCCAAACCTGTCTCTCTGAGCAGCAGGAAACCTTGATTTTCATAATTTGCTTCCTGGCAGCCGCTGCTCGGCTGCATTGGCCCGTTTGAGCTATAGTCTAAACTCCTTCAAACGGAAACATACGGACTATATAGGGGCACCATTACAGGGGTGATTCAGGTGGATACTAGAACTTTGGATATGGCCCTTTTCACCCTAGCAGCTGGATTAAGTTTCTAGATTTCTGCTGAACTTCGACAACACCCAGAGCTAGATAGAGAGCTTCTAGACAGGGCCGTTATGAAAATGATCCCCATGTATAGGTCTTGATGTGTGCGTGTATATGTATGGCGAGGGTCCCTGAGGCTACCCCCATTTTGAGAGACACCTACAAACGTCCCGTCAGAGAGCCTAGGCAAGCCTACTATGATGCCCCCGTACAGAGGGATTATGCAGGGTTTAGCGTGCAACAGTACAGTTGCATTCTGAATTCTGGTAGCTTCTCAAAAGTAGGAGCCCCGACAGACCCCCCACATGGCGCAATATCAACATGAAAGGCTCTGGCGACTGCTGGGCCCAGTTTCCAGCCCACACCCTCTTTTCCAAGCTGGAGAGTCCCTACACCGCATGCCCACGGCATTAAGTGTGGAACATCAGTAACCGAAAGCCGCAAACCCAGAACCCTAATCCCTTCAGCCCCGAAACACACATCTGCAACCCTTGCAGTTAGAAAGCTATGAGATTTCAGAGACCAGGCTTCAAGGATTGGGTTTGTAGCCAGTATAGAGCTTAGGCAGAAGTAAGGAAATGATGTCTGCCATGCTTTGACACTGACAAACAGCAAGTAGAATACTATAAACCGCCCTTCAAATTGCTGGTAGACTCCAGATAGGCATGTCTAAAAAACGTTCCCCATAATCTCTAATCTCGGCTCATTAGCATTCCCAAGCGAGGGGGGGTTTGCGAGCCACTCTCGACTGCCAAGATTTACAGTGCTCCTGAAGTTGAGGACTGGTGGTGCAAATACCTTTAGGTTCCAGGTTCCAGGTATTAATCGTAGGCTAGGCAGATGCTTTGCAGGGGGTGACGCTAACGATGATGGCGTTCATCGCACGTGCCTTTTACACCGAGCGCTACGGAGCTGCCTGAGTAGATAGAGCAGCAGAAGGAAAGCCAGGAGTACCACAAGTGCGAAGCCCGCAACTGGACTCACTGAGCTTGAATGACTTTTAAGTCCAGACTTCTTTCTTCATCCAGCTTCTTCCTTGCCCTGCTTGTGTGTATAGTAAGCTCCGTGCGGAAAGCTCAGCAAAAACACAAAATCGTACCCATGCTTGTCATGACTGTGTGCCATGGTTTCTGGCTGTACTTACAGAATTGTCAAGGTTTGAGCTCGCGGTATCTCAACTTGTTCCTGATAATGTGGACGTCTCAGTACCCCATAACCCCCTAACAACCCCACATATACCTGGAGTCCCCAAGGGTAGCCATAACTTAACTTCACAAACTCTCAGCTTATTGTGCCTTAGCCTTTACGCCTGAACCTTGATAAACATTGAGCAGTTGCGTGCACGTGAGCTATGACTCTGTCGCACTAGAGGCGTACTAGAGCCTAGGCCTAGCAGAGTGCAGGGAGTTGGAAGTTACCTAACAAGCATACCAACGGAGCTGGGGCGAGAGGTTCTGCAGGCACTGCGTTTTTTTTCTTCAGCCGGTTTGGGTGTAGGCTTTAAGACCAAGAACTGTGGGTTTTTCAGCACGGTGGCCGGCAAGCCGAAGTTCAACACTCACGTGTACTCATATAAGGAAAATAGAACAATGGATACACAGGCACCACACCTAGAGTTGCGACGCCTCAGCACGAAGACAAAATTGCAATCCACGTTTGGGAGACGTTTGAGACCGCTTGGGGGTCTGGGTTGCAGCCGGGAGCCGTGGGTAGAGCTGGCGGCTTTTCGCCCAAACGACAGCTCGAAGGGCTGTTGTCTGCAAGGCCTTCACTTGGAAAGCCGGAGATCAGCCTGGAGTGGTTAAGGGGTCGTGGTTGAGACTCCACTTTAGGTTCGGGCCCTTTTGAGGAAGCGCTCCATGGAATGTCTGAGGGAAAGGCTTGCCGTGCAAGGGATGGGTGGGCACAGATCAGAAAGTATTGAAGGCTCATAGCGTCAAGCCAGAAGAGCTTCAAAGGAGTAAACAGTTCTGTCTTGCTTTGCTCATCTTGGCTCCTGTGGTTCCGTTCAAAAAGCTCCACAAGCGTGCAAGATGGTACCCGCGCTGGTTATGACTCCCTGCCAGGGCTCCTGGCTGCATTGACAAGGCTCAGAGCTTAGGGTCTGTGAGTTTGGCAGAAGCCTACTTCCCGCTGAGCATGCAGGCTTCATTAGAGCCCTCACAACTAAAAGAGGATGACCCGCTAGAGGGGCGATTGCAAGGGATCGGGTGGCCAGGTCATATGAGAGCAGCATGAGTCCCATGACAGAGACTCAGTCTTCTGTTCCTGTTCCTCATCAAGGGTTGCTAGGTTTTGCTTCAGGTTTCGTATCGAAGTTTGTAGTGAAGCCGCCGCTATTAGTAAGCCAGTGCATCCATGATCAGGGAGGCTCAGATGAAAGCTCCCGCTTAACCACCATTGTACAGATATCTATACGAAGACGCACCACCTGCAACCTAGCGAGGTCTAAGCACTGAACATGGAAAATATGAGCCAGGACATGCCGAGGGATTCAGCCACACAAGGGCCCCACTAACATTTGAATTCTGGGAGACCTTTGAGGCCCCTTGGGGGGTCTGGGTTGCAGCCGGGAGCCGCCTGAGCTTCGAACAGTGAAGACAGGCCGTGGGGTAGAGCTGGCGGCTTTTCGCCCAAGAGACGGCTTGAAGGATTTATCATCTGCAAGTAGAAAAGCCGCGGATTCCGGTTCGGGGGTCAGGGTTCAGGATCTATAGGATTTTTGATTTGGGTTGTTTGTTTCCTTTCACAAGCGTTTCGAGCTGAGGGTTTCAGCAGAGGTTAGGGGGACACTGCTAGATAAAGCCAGTTTACGTTTTATGTTCCATGTTGTTTTTCATGTTCTTCTCCATCATTGGGTTGATGTCCTTATGTCACCTGTAGACCCTGAACCCAAAGCCCACGCGCTAGGTGTACATGAGGTTCAGGTTTAGGGCACCCGTATGGGAGCACAGGGGTTAAAGGGTTTGTTGGCCTAGGGGGCACCCTAGGGTGGGGTAGATTAAGGTTATCAGGGTTTAGGGTTTAGGGCTTTAAAGGGGTCATCTTGAGCCATAGAATTATCCCTTTCAGAAAGGCTGTCATTTTCTTACATGCCCAGATCCAAGAAATCCTTTTTATATACACACCCTGTGGAATCCAATGAATAATCTACATAATTACCATGTAAATATCAGACATATCCTTCTTTCCCGGCAAAAGTATCTCTTTTAGATCGCAGCCTAAACCTTAAAACCTAACCCCTCAGGACAGAGAGTTCGTCAGACATGTTCGGGCCTCAGCCATGCGCCGGAGGGTCATAGCGGAAATGCCGGTGGGTCATAGCGGGAATTCCAAAATTTAAAGTCTTGGCTGAGAGTCCTCATGACCAGTGTTAGGGGGATTGGTGTCGTTTTTCGAGGTGTATATGCCTATTTAATTATGCAAGGAGCTCCCGCAACATTCCCATGCGTTCCTTGAATCCCCTAGTGGCCCTCGTATCAGAGGACTGCTTTTCCTTTTGGGGTTCATGGGCTCGCTTGCGTAAGAACTACAGTGCAACAGAAAACCCGTAGGCCCTACATATTTCCTCATCTCTGTAGCACACCGACATGTCCCCAACATCTCACAAATGTAAAGAAGGCTGCTCGCTTTTGGAGTTCCCTAGGCCAGGCACACGTTACTCCCCCGGCACGCACCTTCTGTTGACTTTTACGTAAATCCACCGGATTTTTTGGTGTACGTAGGCATGATTGGAGCTTTGAATTCAGTCGGCCAAAATGGATTCCTGGCACTTTTGGCTAGTCTCAACACAAATAGTCTTTGCTCCCCACATGAGCTCACAATACATGCCTTCGCACACCCCCCCGGCGTTTCGTACATATCCCATGTACTCGATATATTCCAGACGCTCCTGACCAAAGGCCACGCAGGCTTCTGGAGAAGCGCTGCAATGCGCATCCCCTGAGCTTCAGAAGGACTTGGTTGGGTTTTGCTTTTGTCCAAGTCTGCTTCCTCTTTGATATAGTTCCCTGACCGTAGCTAAGAATCAAAGCAGACAAATATTTCACAATGAAATGGAGCTTGAGCTTCTGTATCCTACGGTCTCTTACCATGTCTCTGTTGTACACGACACTAGTGGTTTGCAAGTAATGTACCGTACCTGAACAAAAGGTAAGCTCGTGTAGGGAGTTCTGATTAGCGGTTAAAGGGGCTTGGGCATTTGAAATTCGTAGACAAGTCTCAAAGACAAGATTCTGGCCAAGAGAGCACAAAACAGTTCACACGGAAACTCTGCTGGATTGGTCGCTTTGACGCATTGTAGCCAGACAAAAGTAGGTAACGTTTGCGAACATGTCTACTCCAGAGAACACAATGAGAACAAGATTACAAGGACCCACCTTTCAAGGACTGTTTGAGACACCCTGGCTGTGTCGGCAGGACAGGGACTTCATCATTTCTGTCCCGTACTCAGCATACGCTGTGGAGTTCATCTCTCAGAGGGCTGTTTGTGTTTCTCGCGCACGAGGATTTGGGTAGGTCCAGTAACAGGATCCAGGGTTTAGGATCAAGGCTCTAGTAAGGTGTGAGTTTCTCAAAGGAGGGGTACCCTTGGGAACCCAAGGCTATGGGTATGTATTCTGAGAGGATTATGCGGGTCCTTATTAGGGGCTATATAGGGATAAGTTTGAGAGATACCCACATCAGGCCTCAAAGTCCCTGAATACCCCTAGTGATCCTTGTAATCCATTTCCCAATTCCCTTGTGGCTTTCCCAAAACCCCAAACCCTAAACCCTAGGGGCCTCAGGATCCCAAAGCTCTCAATCCCAAACCCCGATCACCCCTGTGACCATTTGTTCATGAAGAGCTAGGCATCCTGCTCCTCTAACATGGAAGCTAGGAATGGGCCCTACAAAGCTTACTGTCCTTTTTCTTGTTGTCTAGGAAAGGGTTCTGTATGGGGTTCCATGTGGGTCTGGGGACTGTGGTGTTGTGGTGTTTTCTTGGTTCTTGGCACTGCAGGCTTTAGCCTATCAACAGGACCCCAACCCCTCGGCCCCCAACCGTCAAGCCTACAACCTGAACCCTTAGCCTTGACCCTTCCATTTTCGCCCTAAAACCTTCAAACTTAATCCCCAGCCTTAAGTGCAAACTTGAACTTTGAATTCCCCAACCATCCCCAACCTTAAACCTTCAATTCAGGTGGTCAAAGCGAACGGCATGGCACTGCCTCACGTTGCAGAGGACCTACGTCAAGATGAAGAGGTGGCTATGCACGAATGAAAGATACTTTTAAAGTGGGAGTAACTCACATGGGTAGTTCCCAAAATTAGGGTGCCTGTTTGGCACCTCTAAATATGAGGTGCCGTAATATAACCTGTAACCAACAGGGTCTCAGAATTTTGAGAACAACCAACATGCAGCGTGCCCTAGTAGTCGTGGGGTCAAGGGGATGGCATAAGTATATTTCTATTCCCTATAATTAAACCATATACTGCCTGATCAACCTAAATAACCTACTTGCTGAGTCCACCTGAATCTCTAGGTAAGGTTGGCATTGTGTATGGGTCTCCAAAAGAGATAGAGAACTTTAGCAACTAACTGATGGGAACACATGTAAAGAAGATGTTTTCACCCTTAACTGTAAACCCTAAAAGTGAGCGCAATGCCTTCTACCTGGGAACCTAAGCATGGGTGTAATTTTGTGGTTGCCCTGGGCATGCCAGACAAAAGAATCCGAATCACCGTCGGCCCCTTCACAGGGTTCACGGGATTAAGGCTTCGGATTTAAGGTTTCAGGCTGGTGTATTTTCAGGGCCACGCCCCCATTTTGTCTATCGGTCTTTGCGAAAGTTGGGCATCTTCGTCTAGAGTCTTTAAGATTCTGGGGGCCATATACACCATGCCCCAATATGGGTATGTCTGCAAACAAGAGTGCCC